CTCTACTCACAGCTCTGCTGCAGCCCCCGATCGTTAGCACGGGAAGCCATACGACTTGCGCGCCCTCAGGAATGCGACACACAGGATAATCGGACGCCAGGCAATGCATCGGCTATGAGTTCGTATGCTATCATCTTCATGCCAGCACCACGATTATTGTGTGCCAGATCCAAGTCTGATCATCTTCTGCTATCTCCTCGGCAGATCTCGCATCACGAGGTCACGCTCTTCAGCATTTGAGCAGAATGCATGTGCGACTTGGAGCAGCGGTCTATCTGGCTCCCTCACGCTATCAACATGATGCACACCGCGACCTCGCCTTGAACCCCCGTGGCTCACTGTGGGCGCGCATCGACGAGCGCGTCCTAACAAACCATAAAATGAAGAATTACCAACGATCCTACTGGAGCAGTTGTGCAGATCATGGCGTCCTCTAAATCAAGGAAGCTCAGATGGTGGTCATTGTAGGCTGCTTGTGACAATACCTAGGTACACGCCTCGCCGCAGCAAGAGCTCTCCAACCACCTTGGCGCAAGGCATACTTGCTTGACCCAAACTTTCCGGTCTGTACAAGGGACATCTTCACCGTCTAGAGACTGCGGCTGAAGGTTTATACGACTTACTGCACTATTTTCAATATTGTGTAGCGACCAAGGTCGTAGCTGATTGGCCAATCCCGTTTCGGCCCCCAGGTACACTTCACGTGTTTCCTCGCATTTCTCGCATCGTCCATGGGCCGCCAATGGGACTGTTGTGGCGTTGTACACTTCATTCTCGTGGCGTGCCGTAATAAGGCCTATTGGCGAAGTTCCTGGAACAACGACATGTCGCCAAGCATGATATTGCACAACCGCAGCAGTGGAGATGAAGAGCTGAAATCTGCGATCACGGAAGGCTGCCAGGCAGGCTGTCAGGCAGGATATGTTTACTGCTCTTTTGGCGGCATGGTGGTATAAAGTCTGGGGTTGCTGAAGGCTGAGAGGGCTATTCTGTTGTTTCACCAGCGGACCTCAACAGCCATCTCACTCATCATCATCATCATTTCTTGTTTGCATAAAGAGTCGGTTTCTTATTAGCAATTATGCTCATTCATTCGCTAGTGCTGTTGAGCGCTTTCTCGTACTCCGTATTCGCTGGCAAAGCGGGACCTCTCAAGGAAGCGCCTGGCGTTTCTCCTCGTCAGCTTCAAGAGTGCAACTCACCTGGATGGATTCCAGTATGCCCTGGTGAATACCCTTTCCAATTGAGCCATGCCCCAGACTAATACTATCAGGCGATCTCCCATGTATCCCACCTACTGGTACATGCTGCACAGGCGACTACTATCATCTACCCGGCGAGACCTGCCCTGATGGATACTCTGAAGTCCCTCGCATTGACCAAAGTGATCCACCTTCTGCTTCCATTACACCAGCACCATCCGCAACCTCAATCCCAGATCCTGTTGTTGTCGACTACTCGTGGTACACCTACTCGTTGACATACTACTATACCTATTACTACTACTATTACTTCGAGGCTACCTACGAGATCACATCCACGGAAACGACGTACTACACTACCTTCTCGCTGACAGCGTCGGATGTGGGGGCTGCCAACTCTGCAGCCGAATCTATCAGTGCCTCGATTAGCGTTGCTCTAGAGACACAGTCAGAGACGCCTACGGTTGAGGCAACACCACTACCGAGTTCGACTTTGGCCCCTGCATCGACATCTAGGGTTGCCTCGTCGTCAACAAGGGCGGTCACATCTTCAGACGATGCGACATCCTCGAGGGTTGCTACATCAACTACCATTAGTGCATCGCCTAGTACCTCCACTCCAGCACAATTTTCCGGCGCTGCTGCCAGCCTTCGCGTTGGAAGTGCCTCAGGCTTTGGAGAAATGTTCTTATTTGCGATCGGGGCTCTTGGACTGGCTCCCGGCATGCTGATGCTTCTTCTTTGAGCGTGGTACCACGAGGGAGCTGTGGCGTGGAATAATGAGTCTTTGTTATGCGGAAGTTCAGAACACAGCGATTGTCGTTTTGGGATGCGTCATTCTGCCTCGTTGCTTGATGCGATCTTTCTGGCGCGTGTAATGTGGGGAGAGGTCTTCAAGTCAAGTCTGAAGCTTAGACGAGTGGTCAATTGATTGATAGTGAACGTTCCCATGATCCTACAAGTCAAAGTCGTTATACTGTGTAGTGTGTCACATGTCATTTTTCTACCGTGTACCATTCAAATGCCTTGTAGTCATCCAACGCCTGCTGGGTGGGAGGGTGTCGGTAGGCAACTGCTCAAATTCTATCGTTGTCTCCGTTGTTCTCGTGATACCATCGTCCTTCAGATCTGAATCCTCGCTCCTTCTATTCATTCCTCTTCCGCATGAGGTTTTCCGTTCTATCGCAGGCCTACGCCTCTCCATCGAGAGAAGCGAAATTTGGCCGCTAGACTCAATCAGATTGCGATCACTTCTGCCATTAATGGTGGATCCAGTGCTGACTGTACGTCGATAGCCGCTACCATACGCTTCCGGCTGACTAAAGTCTAGGGATGTGTTGCGGAGAAGTGGCCGTAAGGCTGGAACCGAGGCGGAGATGATAGCGACGTTTACTTCGATCTGTGATAGAAGAAGGATCTGAGTTACGGTCAGCATCTCGACGAGCAGGGCCACATTGGAAGCTACTCACAAATATCGAATCGTACGATATATCTCTGGTGACATTGTACAGCCATAGTGCATAAACCCTTACTATTGACGCAACGACGGCGATGCCTCCAACCCCGAAGACACCAAAGAGCGCAAATCGCCGCTTCGAATCCAGCTGTAGCTTCCAAAAGGGTTTAAAGGGTAGTAGAAAGATCGTGATATCGGTAAAGATATTGATGCCTCCTAGTGCCAAGTAGGTAGCTCGCAAATTGTTGCATCCCTTTGGAAACGTAGGTGACCATGCTTGTGATGGCTTAGGTCTACACTCGAAAGCCTGTAGGAGTTAGTGTCATTTCTAGTTGAAGCAGAGGGACGAAGACCTCACACTGACGAAGAGAACCACGATTGTATAGATCGTGACAAATGCAGCTACAGACCACACTTTGTACCGGAACTGTAACCGCTCAAAGATACGATGGTACAGCGCCAATATACTAGCCTTGACAAAGAACAGTGCCACAGGATACACTAATTGGTAGAAATAGAAATGCTTGAGTGTGGGAACCCGCATAGAGGGCACGTCCAAGTACTTCAAATGTTGTCTGTCGCAGTCAGCGACGCACATACGCTTGCAACCATGGAACCATACCCAGTGCCCCAGCTGATATGAAACCCATTCATAATCGCCATGCCAATCGTGACAAGAAGGGCTGCAACCATGAAGTAGTCGTCGAGTCCAACATTGCGGATGCGAAAGATGCGACAGTAAAGCCTGCGTAGGTGTTAGCAAACGGTGTCTCACTACCCAAGGATGTCGCCAATGCTGCAGGTACTCGCCTCAGAGCTACGGCAATTGTTGATAGCAGGACTAGAACTCCAGTCGTAATTAGGAACATCGGCTGCCTAGATTCATGATCTGCACTAAGATTCGGCCCGATCATACCTGGGTAACTAACGGCCTACATACAGTAGGGCAGGAATGGCCGTTGGAATGCAAGGCAGATGGCATGTACCTGGGTATATTCGAGAGCTAGAATGTGCTCCGTCGAACGCATAGACGGAATTCTTCACTATACATATGTATGTCAAAGTCCGATGCAAGCATCACTAAATGGCTTGTGGCCGACCAGAAACGGTGATGCTCCAGTACTGTTGCGTCAGGGCGGCCCTCCACCAAAACTGATGATTTAGCCACCGGGGAAACAGTTAGAAGAACTCGATTCATGTCCGTGTGTCGGAGTTCAGGCGCGCAACGCTGAAAGAAGAGAGAGCGGCGTCCTTGCATCCTTCGCGTGGTCGGAAGATCACGCTGCGTGATGTCCGTCCTGACACGGATCAAGAAACAGTACCGAAAAATCCTGGCAACACGCTGCGGCTGCGCAATCTCACCATCCCTGTAAGCGCATCTACGCCCGACACTCCGTAACGATCTACCACACACAACCTTTTTGACTACGGAGGTGGCAAGCCAGGTTCGAATGAGCCTCCGGATGTCTCCCGGGCTTTGCGGGCCACTCGCCTCATACGCCGGGGTCCTCCAGACGGGCAAGGCCAGTAACAGGACTCCAGCGCAGGCTACAAGTACCCGTAGATGGCATGCATCGCATGGAATTGTCCTGCTGTATGTAAACCCAGGTAGTTAGCCAAGGCAAATATGTCAGCAACAATATACATGTACCCCAGCAACGGGCTACGAGATTACGCCTGGTAAAGCCAAGGCTGCGCATTGTAAGATCAAAGTTAGCAGAACGGTTCAGATATTGCGCCTGCGCGTCTTCCAGGTAAAGAGTACACCGATGTTATGGGTTCCTAGGTTCAGTCTCGCCTGCATCAGGTATGGATCATCGGCAGTTGTCCCTGCCATACTCAACAATGTCTCCCATGCAACCGCGGGAGAAAGGTCCAAAAAGACTTTAGGCGATCTGGTTGCGCAATTCCAGATCGGCTGTCGGCAGCCAGATCGCGGAGCTTTTGTATAAGATAGATGGGTGTTGTTAATCATCAACCTTCATCAGCTATTCAGGTGCCTACTTCGCTGTAGGTGTACGAGAGAGCTCTTCGGTACCTAGGCACTGCAGATCCTGCAGAACGTTTCTGTTCTCGAAGGCATCGCACGTGTGACAGTCCCTCCCGTCATTTACGTTTCAGCATTGGATCTTCGGCTCGATCGTCATGCGTCTTCTCGAACTCCTCCCTGTCGGGTTAAGCTTGTCACAATGGTCTGCAGCTGCAGCGTTACCTGCAACTACTGATTTGGGTTCATGCAAAAACCCACCCAAGAGGGTGGAATGGTAAGATCATCAAGAGCTGTACGATGCCGATGGCATTACTGATGCTTCAGTTATAGGAGACAATTGTCAGAACCACAGAAGAAATCCTACATCGATGCCGTTCTGTGTTTGTCACATACAAAGGCCAAATCCGGCATTGAAGGAGCTGTAAACCGATTCGATGATCATCAAGCTGTTCACATGCTCCAGAAGCCTCAGATCCATTGGGTTGTACGTCAAACCCCTTTGGCCCAGCTTCGATCTTGCGCGCTTATACTTTCAGGGTCACTTCCTTCTATGGCACCGGTACTTCACGGCAACCTACGAAAAGGCATTGAGGGATGAATGCGGATATGCTGGAGGCCAACCGTAGGTTGCTAGCCATTCCAAATATGCCCTCATGACATAAAAGGCTTTCAATCTAACCAATGCGCAGATACTGGGATTGGTCTATAGATGCCGAACCGCATAACGAATCATCCACCCGTCCGTTTGATTCAGAGATCTTCAATCCAGACACAGGTTTTGGTGGCAACGGCTCGCCCGTCGCAGCTACTCCTGCCCAAAATCCCTTGAACATTACAGGCAACACCGGTGGAGGATGTGTAATGAACGGGCCATTCGCGCCTCCCCACTTCACAGTGAACGTGCCCACTCCACACTGCTTGAAACGAGACTTTGTTCCGTGGATTGTCAATCGAATGGCAGACAAACGACTGGTCGAAGAGGTCCTGGCACAACCGGATTATACGAGTATTGCAAGGACAGTTGAGAAGCAGCGAAGCTTTGATCCTCCCAACATTCATGCCAGTGGCCATTTTGGTATCGGTGGCATCCTGGGTACCATGGGAAACGCGGCGGAGAGCCCTGGTGGTGAGTACCTGGTTCTCATTCTTTCTGACAACACCCATCTGCCACATAGACATATCACTAGGAAAGATGCTGACATATGGCAGACCCACTCTTCTACCTCCATCATGGCAACATTGACCGCATCTTTTGGGAATGGCAACAAGAAGATCTCGAGACGCGTCTCAATCAAGTCGGTGGGCCCATTACGCCTTTTGATTACAGCGGCAAGAACGTTACATTGGACTTTACCATCAACATTGGCTTGTTAGCAGGGAATGCCACGCTCAAGGACCTGTTGAATACAGAAGGAGGGACGCTCTGCTACACGTATTAGATAGGCTCAATCCAGTTCTTCCGCACAGGTTGCTTCGCTTTCCAGTAGTGTTGAACTGATGCACTCGCCTTGCAGGACGCTGTGATCCCTGTCATGCATGCATTTGGGTCTGGAGGAAGGGCTTCCCGGTCCAGTCACGTCGCAGGACCAGCTGGGCATGGCAGCATCGATGATTCAGGTGGGCTTTGCATTTCCTTGGGCGACATATCTGACTGAACACACATTCGATGATCCAGAATTGGCTATGATTGAATCGAAGGACAACCGACGAAGCAACAAGTTCGCATGTCCGTATGCTGTCCTCGGTGCGGGCACCCACTGACAGTAGGCAGACTAGCTCAGTAGTGTTTCCGACTTGTAAACTGGCATGTTGTCTTCTGCTGAGCATCCGTCGCTGTGCTGTCGTCTTGTGTGTAGGGAGATGTTGTTTTCGCCCGACGGCTTGGGCCACTACCGGCTCCAGAGGCGTGGCATGGCAGTTTCAGTCCCCCTACTCTATACCACCGCACAGGGCTTTGAACTCTGCAAGCGAACCAGTTGCCTGCCATCCAAATTCAAGCATCTCTGAAACGTGGCCTGACTCCTCAAAGCTGTCTCACAGCGTGTCCTTCTCGCGAGCCTCCTTTTCGGCAACCTTCTTCGCCCTCTCCGTCCTCTCTTCCCTCAACGTGGTAAACACCCAGAACCACGCCGAAACCTCCATGAAGCCCCATGTGAATATGAAGCTGTTGTTCAGACTAGCGCCAGCGTGCATTCTGAAGTCCATGCCCCTTGGTGCGAACATGCCACCTTCTTTGAAGACATAGCAGTATGAGGTGAGGCCGAAGAGGAAGAGGAGACGCATGGGTGCTTGGAGACCCCAGAAGTGGTCGAAAATGTCTTCGTGTAGGGAGAGGGCCGTCAGGTCGGAGAAGCCGATGAAGGCGAAGAGAATGGCTACGAAGGCTGTTGCGGCCGAGGGCTTGTTGAAGTCGCGGGGTGTTGGCTGGGGTGTGTTAGTGACTTCAGACACAACTTGAGTAAGCAGCAGAAGTATTGCAGTACGTACGAGCTGCATTGACTCTCCTAGCAGGAGAATGACGCTTTGGTTCGATATCAGGGCGGGATTCCGCAGCAGGACGACTGCAAGTGTGAGGTGAAACAGTGCGATACTGCGTATCATGGTGTTTGCTGATATTATCGCCATACTTGTGGACTATGGGCTGCGAGGGAGAAAATGGCAGATGTAAGGTTGAGGTGTTCGTGGCTGTAATGTTTCTGAGGTTCGCGTCGCGTGGTGTTTCGGACCAAACTCCTAAAATCCGTCCGCGCCCTCCTGCCAAGACCGATCTACCTGGATGATAACAGCTCAACCTGGCACCATGTTTCTTTTCACCTGCATCTCCTATCTTGAAATTGAAAATGGAGAAGGCGGGCGACCTCCCTACCAGCGAAAAGCTTGCGCCAATCCAGCGCCGGTCCTTGAGACGGCGCCTGTGCAAGTTTGATGACGTTATCTTCCTCGTAGTCCTCTTCCTTATCGCGTCGACCATATGGCTCACAGAGATCCGAACGTTGTTTCCAGGCCACAAGCACACATGTGGAAAGCCATTGACAGTTGAAGAGAGAGCGGTCAAGATACTGCAAGAGAACCCACTCATTGGTCAGCCGTACGGACGTGAAATGCAGGTCCACATGCTGACTACCCAAGAGATGGCCATAACGATCTCATGATCTTCATCCGGAGCAAATACAACAACCGTATTTACAATGAATCCGGCAGCGATTTCGCAGACAAGTTCGAGAATGGCGGACTAGCGCAGCATGTCGATACTCCTCGCCTCGAAAAGGGACGTCAAGGTGGTGCCTTCTGGAGTGCCTTCTGGCTCTGTCCATTGGGCGACGAGACGAACTTTGCTGACGAAAGATATCATAATAGTAAGACAATCTAACTCGACAGAGCATTGGATCAATACTAATGTATGCAGTCGTGAAAGCAACTCTCGGCCAGCTAGATCTGTTCAACCGCCTAGGGCAACAGTACCCAAAATACTTCACTCCATCCCGGAACAGTGCGGAAGCCATCAAGACATTTAAAAACGGTGGTTTCATTGCTCCAGCAGCTATCGAAGGGTTGCACCAAATCGGCAACTCGGTCTCTACTCTGCGACTTTACTACCAGCTTGGAGTCAGATACGCGACTCTGACATGGAACTGCCACAACAAGTATGCCGATGCAGCAATCGAGACGGGATCCGACTGGAGCGCGCGTATTGCAAAACCGTACTGGAAAGGTCTCAGCCCCGCAGGTCGCGACCTCGTCAAGGAAATGAACCGCCTAGGAATGTTGGTAGATCTAGCGCACGTGAGTCAAGACACCATGCGCGACGTACTCGTCGGCCGAGGTGACGGAAAATGGAACGGCAGTATCGCGCCACCAATCTTCAGCCACAGCTCCGCATACGCAATCTGCCCGCATCCGCGAAACGTTCCCGACGATATACTTCAGCTCGTCAAGCAGCGCAATTCTGTCGTCATGGTCAACTTTAATCCAGACTTTGTATCCTGCAAGGCTCCGAAAACGCCAAACTCCCTCCCAGATTTCGTCCCAGAGAACAACACCCTAGCGCACGTCGTACGTCATATCAGACACATTGGAGAGCTGATTGGGTATGATCACGTTGGTATTGGCACGGATTACGACGGTATTGAGACCACTCCTGAGGGGTTGGAGGACGTATCTAAGTTCCCTGACCTTATCGCCGAATTGCTGAGACAGGGCATAAGCGATGAGGATGCTGCAAAGATCGCAGGACGGAACCTTCTTCGTGTCTGGGAGGAGGCTGACAAGGTGTCGAAGGAACTGCAAAAGACGATGCTGCCCCTGGAGGATGAGCTGCATGAACAGTGGGCTTAATATGTACACGTCTGCCTAACTACGATCATCGCCTCATCGCAGCGCGCTACTGCGAGACGCCATGCAGCAGGAGTACCTATTAGTGTAGTGAGGTGGTTTTGTCACGCCATAACAAAGTACAAGAGCCTTCTTTGAACTAGAAGGCTTTATGTTGTCAGCAGACTTCTGCATGCAACTGTTTCCAACTGTTGCGCGTGACTTTGCATCTTCAGCATACCAGTCCCGTGTTTGAACAACCACTGCGGCGTAAGCGAACATCATGCGCTCCTACCCAACTGTTCAGCCTGACGATACTCCGCAAATGGGGACGAAAAGCGACACCATATGGGTTCCATACAGACGTTTCGAATTCCACGAGTTTTGGATCTACCTAGATATGCATAGACTGTAGACGGACTCACCTTCTTCCGGTTTTCTTCCCGTGGTGTTGTGGATACAAGAGCTACTTCTGGTCACAGGAACCCACAACACAAGGCTGAAGGATTTACAGCACAACATCGATTGTCTAAGCCTATCCTGGTGTGAGGCCCGACGTGGCTTGCAGCAGCGGGCGGTGCTGATGAGAAATCGACATATTCATCACCAAGTTTCTCAGCCTGCCCAGGCGATGAAGACTCTATAGATGCGTCTTACGTCTCGGGCCTCCGCTGGCACTGTGTCGCATCCATCATCAACTGTTCTACTTCGATCTTTACTTTCTCGATGGCTGTATCGCATGACAACCTGGTGCACCGAGACGTAGATGTGTTCGAATTAGCGAACTTCCCAGAGGAGTCACGGGAATTGCTTGTACCACAAGACATCCAACAGCCGTCTCATGATATTGGCGGGATTGTGCTGTAAGTCCATGTACTGCCAACACACTTATTGAGTGATGAAATTGACTGCTTCCTTAGCCGTTTTGGCTCGATATCACTGCTCAAGAACTGGCTTCCGCAAGTTGATCCACCGGAACCCCACTCCCGCAGCTGGATGAGACATCTATCAACTCGTGGTAAAGCGCTCCTTGGAATCTTCCTGCTTTCGTTTGCAGTGCTACTCATCAATCTGGGCGTGACAGTCTATGCGATGAGCAAGCGCAATGTAGACCAGCAGAATTTCGTCGACATACTCCAGCCCAACGGAAACTATGATTGCGACAGTATACGACAGTACAACAGATGGATGCATTTTGCCATCAATGCACTTTCCACGGCTCTTCTAGGCGCGAGCAATTATTGCGCTCAACTCCTTGTGGCTCCTACTCGCAAGGAGGTCGACAACGCGCACAGCAAGAAAACATGGCTGGATATAGGTATTCAAAGTTTCAGAAATCTGCGGAAGGTCAACCCAAAACGGCGCACACTATGGGTACTGTTAATGCTTAGTTCTGGTCTTTTGCACCTATTGTAAGTTGTAACGATGTGTGTTTTCATGCTTTAATCACCCCAACTGATCTGGCGGCAGTTGGAACTCCGCCGTGTTCGCAGCAACACCCTTTAGTACCTACAACGTCGGTCTAGTGACCGCAGACTTTCTCGATGACCAGACAGAGTGGAACACGTCACTATCGCTGCTGGAGGACATCCGTCGTGCTGCATCCCAGCTAGACGTGATCAGCAAGACTGACTGCATCTCGCGCTACGTCGGCAAGACCTCAGGGCTTGCCAGCGTGCTCGTCGTGAGCGCCAACATCACGATGTCGGACGAGCTGTCAGACGATGTAGATCATCCTCGCTCATCGTTGTTGACCAATTTCACCACAATTGAGGGGCCCGGCAGTGACTGGGGACTAAACAGTGACTGGATGTGCTCAGCATGGGCGCTCCCTGGACTCAGGTCAAGCTTTGCTTGCACCGAGATATTCCTCATGCCCTACAACAAGACCTGGACACTTGGAAACAATTCGGGGTTCAAGGTCAACCACTGCCTGGCCCTGGACAATGGTAAAGCAATGGATAATGCATGCGCACTGCGTTTCAGCCCGGTGATCTTAATCATCGTCACGGCGCTGAATCTTTTCAAATGTTTCTGCATCGGAAGTACAGTCTATCTCCACTGGCACGACAGCTACACCCCTCACACTTCCCGAGGGATGAGGCACAAAGGCAGTAGCTACCAGAACATTTCGGAGCAAAAGCGAAATCTACGTCATCTTGTCACTCTTGGCGATGCCATTGCAAGCTTCTTAGACGAAGAAGACATGCATACGAAACACATGGATCTGTTTGCAAAGAGAGATTTTGTAAAGGGCTGGCCTCTTCCGCATCGAAATAGAGAGCGCACGCACCCTCGACCTACCTATTGGTGTCGCGCTGCAAGCACTCTACGATGGTGTACTACATTATTTCTGTAAGTCTAGCAGCGGTACACAACAGCACTGGCTGATTCCAGTTAGATGTATATCTCTCCTCGCGCTCGTAGGAATCTTGCTTGGTCTAACCATCAAGGCCCAGCGCGCTCTAGGCGTCCAAGTCGATCTAGCCTCGCTCTGGAGCTACGGTGTGGGCGACGCACGACAATGGGCTGTAACCCTGACTGGATTTATGCGCCGACTGAACCAGACATCTGGATTCTTCTTTGGCGTACTCTACGCCAACATATTCCAAGTCGTCGTCAGCGCTCTGTACCTTCTGTATAACAACCTGTTGACTGTTATGGTCGCCGCCTCCGAATGGAACGACTTCATCTCTGAGCGCAAGGCACTGCGACTCTCAGTCCCAAGGGGCATGCAACGATCGCACTACTTTCTGTCGCTACCTTACCGATACTCAGTTCCGTTGATGGTGTGCTCCGGTCTCTTACACTGGCTCATCTCGCAAAGCATCTTCGTGATCCAAACAGTGGCGTACACCCCGAACTTTGACCGAAATAGAAACATGGACGCATCCTCAGTCGGATATTCGAGTATCGGTATCATGCTAGCAATGGCCGTCGGCTTTGTACTAGTATTCTTGCTGCTCATTGTTGGGTTTGCATTCAAATACGACGTGAAGCGGGTCAAGCGTGATGGCTTTGTGCCGCCACACCCTATGCCGCTGGTGAGCACATGCAGTGCAGCGATTAGCGCAAACTGTCACAGACACGAGAAAGATAAGGACTGTGCACGCCTACCGGTTATATGGGGTTTCGTCCAAGACGAAGGAGCAGACAGCGGACGGTATACCTTCACCACTGCGAAGGAGGTTGGACCTGGAGCTCTCGACAGCCGGTTCTGAGACCAAATCGTTTTGGCTACGATCAGAAACTCTCTTTGCACAAATTCAGCATATATTATTCATCGTAAAATTGAGTATGTACTTTAGGAGCAACCCTGCTTGCCAAGTATATGATTTGCATATCTGAGGTGAAGGTATCCGCAGCTGCTCCAATAAGCAGCCTCGTTTTGTGCACAAATCGAAATAAAGTCGTGAACTAATAGCATTGGAACTGGATACGACACGAAAACACCCGTAGTATGAAAATTGAATCAACACTGTAAGCACGTGTTTGCACGATGAGGCGGCTGGTGAGTGGCTAAGCTCCACTTCATATCACACCACTTCTCAGCAGCCCAGACCTTGGCAACGAGACACAACATGCGACTTCCAAGACTCACAGAGGGAAAGAATATTTAAACTCAAATGATGGTGTGAGCATCCCCTTACTATCCTTCCTGGAATTTACTCAGATCCCGCACTCTTTACATCTAATCTCTTATACAACACATATTCCTCTACAAGCCTATCATCTCAGCTACTCACACAATCAGAAGTCGCATACACTACAACAACGCAATGACATCCCCCAAACTAAAAACCACAATCGCCATCCTCGGCTGCGGCGACGTCGGTTCCACTCTAGCCTACACCCTCATCCTGCAACCAATCTGCTCAGAGGTAATCCTCGTAGACCCCAAAACCACGCTCCTGGAAGCCCAAGTCCGCGATCTAAACGACGCCACCTACCGCGGCGGCACCTCTGTCCGCGTGCGCGCCGGAACGCACGCCGACGCCGGCCGAGCAGACATCGTCGTCATAACCGCCGGCGCAAAGCAGAAGCCAGGAGAATCACGCTTATCCCTCTTATCCCGTAACCTGCACATTCTAGAGAGCATATTCAGTGCCATGGCGCCGATTAGTCCGCACACGATCTTGCTGCTTGTGGCGAATCCAGTGGATATCCTGACGTATTTTGCGAGGCGGTTGTCGGGTTTGCCCGAGAGTCAGGTGTTGGGGACGGGGACGAGTTTGGATTCTGCGAGGTTGAGGGGCGTGCTGAGTGAGAGGGCGGGGGTGGCGCCGAGTAGTATTGATGCTTATGTGTTGGGGGAGCATGGGGACAGTCAGTTTGTGAGTACAGTTTCCCTGGTCCCTTTGCGGGGAGAGGAGAGGGTGACGAGACAGGAGAGATAGACATGCTGATATAAGATAAAGATTGCGTGGTCCAGCGCTACTATTGGCACAACACCGCTTTCTCTTGCTCTTCCGCCAGACACGATGTCTCAGGAGTTCAAGGACCAGATATCGGCTCATACTCGTGGAGCAGCTGGCGCGATCATCGCGGCGAAGGGTTGCACAAGCTACGGTATCGGAAATATCGCGGCTGGTATCTGCAAGTATATATTATTCGACTCACGATCCGTTCGGCCCTTGTCCTTCTACCAGCCTGAGCTGGGCTGCTGCTTGTCAATGCCAGCAGTAGTTGGTCGAAAGGGTATCATCAAAGCCATGCCAGTTCAGCTTGACGAGGTGGAGAAGGCGCAGTTGGAGGCCTGTGCCAAAGGACTGAGGGGTGTGATTGAGGGAGCTGAGAAGGAGTTGAGCGCTGATCGTGAGCTGGAGAAGGCACTAGCAAGCGACAAGGGTGTCTGAGGCTACACGCTTCCATGGAAAAGGTACTGCTTGATACACGCCGGATGTGTATTCCTTCTTAAGTAGTTACTCAAAAAGTATTTTCACAGATACAATACACTATTGCCCGATGTCTCGTAGTCCACATACAAGCATGTTAGCCTTCATCCCTCTCTACTCCACCGCCAACTTGATCTTCACAATCAATCCGTAGACGCTTCCAACCTCATAAGACGCACGAATCGCCTCCTTCCTGCTGTCCATGTCGATATATGCCGTTCTAGTCCTCTTGACCGGCTCGCGTTCGGGAAGGATGGTGATGTTGCGACTAGCAATATCTAGTTAGCGCATGCATTCACTGACATGTATAGTGTATGACTTACATGTCCCATCTGTACTCGATAAAGAGTATACGGATGGCTTCCTCGTCTACGCTAGCAGCGAGATTGGTGACGATCAAACGGTTTGGTAGAATTTTCTTCTCCTCGATCGCGTGATACTTCTCTTCCTCTTCCAGGACGTACTTGATGGTGGCGTCGAGCTTCTCGTTCTCCCTCTTCACCATGTCTTCCATCTCTTTCTTGGCCTCAGACTCATTCATATCTGGACGTTGTATGCCTTTCGGCTCGAGTAACGCAGTTGTGTCTTGTGGAGAGGCTAGTGTCTTGTCGACAACAGATACGGCCTGGGCGGTTCTGCGAGAGCTGTCGGGGGTCATGTTGGAGGGTGGAGAGAACATAGCGTTCATCTTCGCGCGGAGAGTCTCGAGATTATCGTCTTCATCATTGGAACAGTTTGTGTCAGGGATTTGCTTCTCTTCACCTGATTCGGCAGGCATGGCTTCCTTGTTCTCCATGATATCGTCTTCGCCAATGTCGACGCCTAGACGCTCGGCTAAAGCTGACAAGTCGTCTTCCTTGTTCAAACTGAGGTCTGCGCCCATGGCTTTCGGACTGTTGTCGCGTATAACAACAATATCCTTTGACGCGGACAGATCTCGCTTCATATCTGCCAGCATTCGTGATAGATCGTAGTCACCATCAAGCTTCTCCTTATTACCAATGTCTGAACGCTGTCGCAGCGACGAATCGAGCTCCGCGAGCATCATCTTGGGATTCTCGGCACGGTCCGATAAGTAGCCGCCGCGCAGGTGAACCTGTGTCTGTTGCATGTCTATTTGTTGGTTAGTCGGGCTGAGTTGAGCGATTAGTTGATGCCTAAATGCTTACCTGATGATCCTTCAACAGAAGCAGCCGCCATTGGCTCGTCACTCGCAGTGTTCTCGTCACTTTTGTAAGCTTGTTCAAGCTCGGGACGATCGTCACAAGAATCGCTGCCCTGTGATAGCTCAGGCTCGGGGGTGACAGGAAGCTCTGGTGCAGCTTTTGGTGTTGATGGGATGGGTACTGGCCTCGAACGCCTCTGCTGTAGCTCTTGTAGTTCAGCGTTGCGACGCTGACTTGCTTTGACGAGCACGTCCGTAATGCTGGCGAATTGGCGGTTGAGCAGACCGTTTGTTGAGGCCGCAGCAGCTCGATCTCGGTGTTCCATCCTGGTCCTGGTCCCGGTCTGTTTGCGTCCGCGAGCGGAAGCTGCCTGTTGCCGCGACATGATTGGTAATGCTTTCCCCTGACGTAACGTAGATGAAGAATTCATGAAGTTCAATGGCCGCAACTACCTCTTGCTTGCTCGGCGTAAGTCCTCCCGTGAGCGGTGAGAAGGTGCGACCGTGTGCGTATCTGTCAATCGGTGAAGTGAATAGCACTAGCCATCGGTCAACATATCCCCAATCAAGCTGAAATGTCGCGGTATGTCGAAACAAGAGGTGCCAGTCGTTGTGAAGGATGTAGATGAGGTTGGCAGGGGAGAAAGAGAGGTCAGGCAGGTGAGAGTTGTTATTGTTGTTAAGTTGTGCCAAACAGGAAAGCGCTACCAAACCGAATATACACCGCTGACGCTTTTTGAGGTGAGTTCAGATGGTAGGATTGAATGGATCGTGGAGACAGGCAGGATTCGTATGTATCAAGGGAATAGCGGTTGATACTAAGCACATAGAGGAACCTGAAAGATGTTAAGTCATGAACAAGTGCATCTCACGAAGAGTGTTATGTACCCAATTGTTCCTACACAACTCGTTTCGCATACCACGAACCGTTCCCAACTCTTGATAACTACACATGACAGAAGAGAAGAAAAGCTGAGAGCCTACTTGACCCAAATTGAGTTCCTTGAGATGCGAAAGCGCTACCCCAAAGCCCACTCATGAGCAGCGAGTTTGTTTTCTACTGCTTCTTCTTCCCAGCGCCCTTGGCCTCTGCAGCCTTGCGTTCAAACTCCTCGATCTCCTTCTCCTCAGCCCTCTTGGCGTACCACTGCCCGGCCTGCAGTACCAGCACACCCACGAGCACCAGCGCCAGGATTGTATTACTAGCCGCAAAAACCCTCAACGTGTCCTCTCTCGAGATGTAATCTCCCATATCTTCGTCCGTGATCTCACCCGGCGCCGCCTTGTTCACGTCACCGTAGATACCCGCTGTCACGACCCTGAACCCCTTGACGATGTTGGTCAGGTAGACGGTGATACCAGCCATGTAGAGTACAAGCGATGCGCCATCGAAGAGCATGTTGGCTTGGTTGGGCTTGAAGAGCTTGATGAGGAAGCCGAGGAGGCCGGTGCCGATGGCTAGGTTGAGGATGCGCGATACGATGGGAGGCGAGGCATAGAGGAACTTGATGTGCGATTCAAGGATGTCGAAGTAGGCTGATCGGTCAGCGGGCATGGTCCATAGCACATTGTAGTCGTATGGGAGTTGCGCAAACATGATACCGAGGAAGAAACATGTTGCTGCGGGTTCGTCAGCAGGTGCAATGGGGGCGCAATCAAGTGTTGTGGATGTGGGTGGAGGCAGCATGGAGGGGTGCACTTACGTCCTACCACCATGAATTGCGCAAAGTTGTTTGCTGCGCCTGGAGCCATCGTGAAGAATTCTGGGGAGCGCGAACTCGTCTGGGGTTTGCGGTTGATCGAGAAATCACAGTGAGAGGAGAGGAGAGCCGGCGCAAGCTTATCTGGCTGGTTTCTGCCGCGTCGCGAGATTCGCAGTTGGAGGTAACCTCTTTAAGAAGGTAAGACCGTGGACGAGACTCGAAGCGAATTCTCACCACATAAGTAATCAGAGGAACTGCGAGTGGCTGTGAGAGATCGCACAGTGAAACAGGGCTGGGAAACGTGAGTTTTCCCACTTTTCGGAAGCGACCCCGCGAGGGTTCACCACCCCCCATGATGCTTGCCTGCAGACGGCTGCCTTGGCATGTGACAGCCACCCACGACCTCACGCGACACTCGGCGGGCGGCCGTGGAAGACGAATTTGTACATCGTTGCTTCATTGGAATTTCTATGCGAAGCTGCTGCAAGCAAAATAGACGCGCGCTAAGCGTCGTTCGGATATCCAACGCCGTGGTACGCCGTAACCAGATACATCTACATCCTCTGCCGTCGCTTCCCTCCCATGCTTTAGAAGTCGTTATCGGCGTCCATATCCTCATCTTCCAGACCAGCCTCGATGAACACAAGCCTTGTGCCCTCTCCGGTTGTTTGCCAGACCTGTCAGAAAGCGTTAGCATCGTGCATAAAATCAAACGTTTGGCGACGGTACTTACGTCAAGCATGGAGTACTCGTCAATGGCCTGCTCGAACTGATCGGCTGTGAAGCCCTTGGCCAGGACTCTTTCCCTGACTCTGCGAAGATCGAGCTCACCCCTGGTGCCATCACCGACAGCAGCAGCACCGCTCGCCTCCATGGACTTGATGAGGTGGTAGATTTTACTGCTTGGAGTGTGATCAATCCCACGGTTCTCATCGGCGTACAAACTGGCCTTGCTGACTTCGGTAAGGCGGAGAGCTTCGTCTACATCTTCCGAGATGACTTGTTCGGCGAACCGCAGACGTGCCAGAGCCTGCGCAAGACGGAGTACACCAAGCAGCGTACGCGGTGAGGTGTGGGTAAAGGCCTTCTTGTTGCCGTCGTCGCGCTTTTGCTGTTGACGCATGCGCACGTAGGCACCAACCATGTAATCCGAAACCTCCTTTGGCACAGTTGGTCGGTATGATCGCGCGCGAGCAACCCATTGTCGTACTTCGGCCGGGCTGAAGATGATGCCGCCAGGCGCTTCAGGGTGAGCGTTATGCATGTGCACGTGGGTGACGTGACGTGCCAGCTCTTCATCAGAGTCTCGCGCAGGGGTATCAAGGATGAGGAACAGGACGTCGAAACGTGAGAGAAGCGCAGCAGGGAGGTTGATGTTCTCAATCGGCGAGAGACGAGGGTTGTAGCGGCCGTACAATGGGTTGGCGGCTGCAAGGATTGATGTGCGGGCATTCAGAGTGGTTGTAATACCAGCCTTGCTGATGGAGATGGTTTGCTGTTCCATGACTTCGTGGATCGCCGTTCGGTCGCTGTCGTCCATTTTGTCAAACTCGTCAATACAGCACATGCCGTTATCAGCCAAGACGAGAGCTCCTCCCTCAAGCACCATTTCATCGGTGACTGGGTCGCGCATGACGGCGGCGGTGAGACCAACACCACTGCTACCACGACCAGTAGTGTAGACACCACGAGGTGCTACTTTGGTAATGTACTTGAGCAATTGGGATTTGGCCACACCGGGGTCACCCATCAAGCAGACGTTGATGTCACCACGGATGCGCATGCCGTCGCCGACCTCCTTTGTGACACCGCCAATGAGCTGGAGCAGAAGAGCCTTCTTGACATCGACGTGACCGAAGATCTCAGGTGCGATGGATCGCGATAGGTACTCGTACAGCTGGCCAGTCCTCTCAAGCTCGTTCATCCTGCGGAGAGTTGGTTGAGCAAGCACAATGTCGTCGTAGGCCTTCTTGTGTTGCATGACATATTGTGCTTCGAGGTATGTGTCGGTAAGGAGACCAGCCCGGATGGCCTTGAATCCAGTGTAGGGCGTGGGGAGGAAGATACCAGCACAATCGATGACATCTCCGGGG